CCGCGTGACCAAAGCGAGGGAGGGGTGGGGGAGGGGGGGAGACTGATACGTTGCACCCTCTGCAAACTGTGCTCTTGCGATTACCTAACTACAATAAGAAAGACCTTTTTGCAACGAAACTGAATAAAGCATTCCGGTATAGCTGAAATGCAGAAGAATGCAGGGGGAACAAGAAAACGGAAGTCTCATCGAAAAGCATAGTGATTTCCGTGTTCTTCTTCCTCGCATTCTTTTGCATTGTAGCTTTGCCGGACTGCTTTGTTGAAGAATAACGTTTTGTGTGTTTCCACTTTGAATAATGTTGGTAACGGTGAGAGCACCTTAGCTCTTGTCTCGGAAATAAAGTGGCCCAGGTAGATCCTTTCACATTTGTTTATTTTAATTTTAATTTGACTCTGCTAAATAGTGGATAAGGGGGTGAGCGGTAAAAGGATGCAGCAGGATCGGCAGTCAGTTTAGTAGAGAAATGTTTAAGAAGGGAGTTGAGTTTATTATAATCATGCGATTCATGAATTCACCCCCCCCCCCTACCCCTCGTTCCCTATTTCCAAACTGACAATGAGACCAAGAGCTGGGAATTGCGGGGGAGGGGTGGTCCAGAGGCTGCCGGCGAGGGGAAGTGCCGTCGGATGGGGTAGCCTCGGACGGAGCGGGGTAGCGCCGGGGTGCAGCGGGGTAGCGCCGGGCGCAGCAGGGTAGTGACAGTGGCGCTGGCGCGAGGTAGCGCCGGATGGGGCGGGGAGCGCTGTTTAGACTGGGGTAGCGCCGTGCACAGCGGGGTAGCGCCGGCAGGGAAGATTGACATTGTAAAAACAAAGCCTCAGTTTTTGAAGGAAAGGGAAAACTTTGAGAAATTCCCCTGGTTTTGACAACTCCTCAGATTTCGAGGAAGTCCCCATGTATACATGTGGGATTTTTCCTCACTTTCTGAGAAGATTCCTCAAAATCTGAGGCGAGATCGGACGACTCTTCCTCAAAGTTTTCCCGGATGTATTGAGACATTGTTTTTTCTGTGCAAACCGTGCCACCGTCAACCTCTGGAGCGAGATCACACGCGGCTTGTACACAGTTTACGAACATACATTTACGAAATTTTCTTGTTTAATTTTCTGACACGAAAGAAGATACGAACGCTAGTTCGATAACGATAGTTCATGAGTTCCTTTCTAAAACTCGAAGTTAAAACTGAAAGTTTTGATCGTTTTTTAGTTTCTGATATTTCAATATACTATCAGTTTTATAAGCAGATAATTTTATTAGCTCTCCATGCACTCCGTGCAATTTCGAAAAAAATGTATGGTTGTGCAGTTTTTTAAAAGGAAGATGTTGACTTGTGAAATAAACATTTTTTAATGGAGGGTTATTGTGAAAAGAATTTCACAGGCCCGTCCTGAAATATATGGCGCGCTGCCAAAATGGTGGTGCGCGTTTTCTGACGACCTCTGCTGACGTGAAACGCGCGGCGAGGTGGCGAGGTGTGAGGGGCAGGGGCCGAGGTGAAGGTGTGCGCCGGTGTAGTGACCCCTGCGAGCCCCCTACACACCCTTCGGCGTTGCCCATTCATCACGCTGCCTCAGCCGCATTTTCTTCCTTATTGGACAGACCGCCGCTGCGCCGAGCAGAGAATTCCCCGTGAACCGTAGACCAGAGTACCAGAGTACCAGCAGTATATAGGTACATTCTTCGCTAATGAGAGAAACGGTCAAGGCCCCGACAAATGCCCCATGGTGCGGGTTAAATAATATGTGAGATTCTGTTAAAGGCAGGCCGCCAACTATCGTCTTTAAATGGCAAACTTGTGGCTGATTCGTGGTAAATCGAGCGACTTACCTCAACCCCCGCGCTGCCAACTATCTCAATCAAATTAATCTCCCCCTCCCCTGACTATGCCTAGCCTAACGCTTGCGCAGTGCACCGAGGTTGTTGATCGACAAGGATGAGTTCACTTCCATCCTCATAGCCGCTTCGCTTTTTATTTTCCCGATATCCGACCGTTCTGTTTGTTTCTTCTACGTACATGCGTACTGCCCTTAGTTCCATGCAGTTTTGAATAATTTTCCACCAAAGCAGCAACCATTGTCTTTTACTACTGAAAAACAAAGGCGCTCAGTCAGGCCTGTCAAATGTCAAAGGTGCCGAGGGTTTTCGTGTCTTTCAAAAGGTATCAAAACTGCGAATGGCACCCATTTTGGTACGTTTACGGTGTGTTGTAGCCTACCTTTACAGAAGGCTTCAAACTAAAATGAAAACCGCATCCATGCACAGGTGTGGTGTGACCTTTGTTTTTTCAGTGAGGTTCTCATTAAACGCTGCTGCCTAGCGGTTACAGGCCCCCAGCCCGGGCGCACCCTCTGCCCCTGCGTTTGCGAGCGAAGCCTGCGTGCATCATTCATTATATCCCGCGCCTTTTCTCACTTTTCGTTTCTCCGAGACCCGCCGCTGTGGCCGCGACTCGCAGCAGCTTTTGCTCACTCATTCATTCGCCTTTGTTTTCACCTTGGTAAAACTCCGTCCGAGTTTTTGATGTGGTATGGTTATTTCGGCAGCCTAGACGGCTGTTACCAGTCAAATATTAATGCCCATTGTGAGAAAGAAAGTCCCGTTCCCCGCCCAAGGGATCATCCCGAAAGTACGTCAGTCATTCGCCGTTGAGAACCTGCCAAGTTCAGCGTCTGCAAGCTCATAAAGCGCATGGGAGGTAGATAACACATGGCCTGCAGTGCATGGGTGTACTGCGGGCTGGCCTACCTTGAGTCTCGCAGGCGCCGAGCTCCCGTAATTTGTCGAATGAATCAGAGAAAAGTGGACGTCTGGACGATCCCCAATTCTTATGTTTTTTTTTTTCTTTCATATTCTCGAATATTCTAGATCACATATTCCTCATAAGGAGATTTTACTGACGAAAATTTTCATAATTTTTCTCAAACTAAAATTACCTAATAACAATTTTAGTTTAACCTCGTCGCTTCGTCCGACAGACGGCGCGTGTCAGGATGGGTGAAAGGCACCTGCCGCACACCCACCACACCCACCGACACCCAAAGAGCTGTGCTGACACCCACCGGCTCCGGTTTGAGATTGTGTGGCGTTGAGTAATGACGAGCCCGTGACGTCACGACACCAGCTGTTTGGAACGCGTCCTCATCATTGTCCTTGGGATGGAATTAAACGACGGCTCGGGTTCAAGCCCACCTAACTGTGTGTCGGCCGATATGTCAGGAGTGTGCTGCTGCTGCTGGGGGCGGTGCGGGCGTCCTCACACTTTGTGCGCGAGGAACAAAATCAAGTGGATGCTAGACAAATCTGTCAGTGATCGTCCATGTCGACTGGAATTACAAAAAAAACTGTACAAAAACGTGTTCAGAATACTTTATTATAATACAGGAAACGATCTCAGTTTACAAAAACTATCTTTCTCCGATTTTTTTCATCAGTACGCCGGTCTATTTCATTTGCCGCAAATAACATTTTATCAGCGTTCAGGTGGTTCAGGTACTGAAAGGGCAGGTCCTGGACCCCTCGCCAGGCAGCTAACAACTACCCGCCAGCGTTTAAAGGCCCCCTCCTTCCACAATTCCGCTCCATAACCTGCCTCCCCACCGCTCCCTCCTCTATCCCTTACGAGGAATGTTCGCCCTGCTCCTCTGCCTGCCCCGAATTGGGTTGATGAAATTCCATGCCCGGCCATCACTGCTGTTGCGCCTCACAGAAGCGGGTAGCACCGTCGCAAAAAAAGGGAAGAAAAAGAACTGATAATAAAATCCAAAACAAGATGGCCGTAGCTCTGTGGCAGTCTAGCCCCCCCTTACTTGCAGTGCTGTAGGCACCCGCTCGGCCGTGGTGCTCTAGCTCCCAGGGATTAGTCCATCAGACGGTCGGGACGCTCAGCAGCCCCGGGGTCGCGTCGCGCTGTGTAGTTTTGCCAGCGCACTCACCCCTCCCCCTCTCTCTCCCTGACGCCTGTCCTCTCCGCCTTGGCCACGCACCAGCAGCAAAGGCACCTGGATACATGACACGCTCACGACCCTCCACCCCGGTACCTGCTGCCGCCTCTGGAAATTAATTAATCAGAGTGGGAGGAGCAGGCCAGCCGGAGGCCAGCCGGAGGATGGCGGCTACGTCACTCCCGAATCACGGGGGTGCTGCGCTGCACCTCGGAGTAGCGCGGGGGAGAGCGATGAGGCACCGCTCTACGCTATGCGCCGGCGGGGAACCCGACGACATTGCTGGGGCGAGTACCCCCTGCTCCCCCTTCCTCCCCTTTTCCCTCCTATTCTCTTTCTCTCTCCCTCATCTGCATGGAAACGGCAACGGCTTAAGGGAAGGGGGGAAAAAACGAGAAGCTGTGCTCGCTGTGTGCGCCAGCATGAGGTGGCATTCCAGAAGGCAAAATCCAGGGGAAAAGGGGGGGGGGCGGCTCCAGCAAGCGTTGGAGTGGGTTTGGTGGCCTCGCCGCCGTGCCTCCCCCCGAATCTCTCCTGGCGGGCTTTGATACACCCCCCGCCGCAAACCTCCCCGCTCCGCCCTGACGGATAGGCGGCTGTATCTTTTTTCATCAAGGAAAAAAGTTCCTATTTCTAGGATTGATTTCGTTTCTCAAGTCAGCAGCAATCAGTGCGCAAAAAAGTACCGAGACTTTGTCTTCGAAGGAACGATAGAAGGCCTTGTGCCCTTGTGCTAACCCCTGTTGGAGGGGCCGGTATGGGATCTACGCCCCTGCATGTCACTGAAGCCAGTGGTTGTTGCAAGCTAAGGGGATGGGAGAATCGTTCCGAAGTGGGGCACGCGCGCGCCCGCGCCCGCCCGCACCCGGCCCCTTCTTCGCCGCACACAACGGCGAACTGCATGCGTTTGTTTCGCACGGCGTTAGAGTGCTTATAAAGCAACGCACGTTCCTCTTTTACAACTCTTGTTCACTGCCATGCACAACTTCCC